TTCGGATCCAGCGCATGATAGTAGTGCACCACGAGCACATCCAGGAGCTCAGTCATCCTGTTGCATACCTCGAGCATTTGAATGAATCTGTTACTGATGGGCCTTATCAAGCTCTTCGGGGGGAGGTGGAGAAAACTTTGAAACTGTGCAAAAATCTCCTTCTGTTTAGGTGATTTCTCTATATCATAATAAATATCAGAGCAAAAATCTTCCACATCTGAGCCAAAGGGTCCCATAAGGGCCTTAGCAGTATTGGACACCATGTGAACAGTGTCTCCTGATATATCCAGGAGATTAGGGTTCTCCTTCCTTGCTAACGTTTCAAGCCCAGATTTCTTTCCCCTCATCACAGCACAATTGTCCAGAAGAATGCTAGTGACTTGTCTCCACTCCAGCCCATATGATTGCAGGACATCTTTTAGTTGCAGCATCAGTTCTGAGGCATTTGCAACATTAACCTTTTTGCTTGCAAGGTGCTGTGTTTTCACACTGCCTGCATCCTCGTCATAAAATCGGACCAGTACATTTAGAATTCTATCCATGCTTTTGTCAGTGGCCTCATCAATATTAAGTGAAAACATGCTATTCTTAAGCTTGTCGGACAGATTTCTTTTAAATTCTGGCGAGATGCCGTGTGTAATGAGATAGCTGCCTCGAAACAGACAGATGCGTTAGGGCGAGTTTATCCTCCGCTAATTTCTGACACAGAGTGACGAGTGGATGAGCGATTGTAAATGACAGATCGAACTCGGCAATGAAGGAGCACAAGCGAATTTTTAAATCAGCCACACGATCGGTCATTGAGGGTCGGATATCTGCTGTGGCTGTTGCCCCCGGCAAACGTGAGGTGTGTTGAATCGCTCGGACAGCTGCTTTTAGACTAGGGTCTAACTCGTGCCGTGGCAGCACTTTTTTCCCGCTAGTTCCATATAATATTTTCCTTGCACACAAAGTGCAGAAACATGCTCCTGGTTGCCGGAGTTTTTGACACCAGCTTCCAAAGGGCTTTTCGTCTCTACCCACCTCTTCTATCCAAGACCAGCGCCATTTATTCTTTATGCCTTTATCGACAAGTTTGGTGTCTTCCCCCGGCTTCATAAAGTTGCGCTCCATGACTTCGGCTAGATTTCGCGCTGCCAGTGTGGAAAACGCACAAAAAACTGATCGCACGTGAAGTGACTACTGATTCAATTTGATTGGCCAAAACCAATCATGTCGAAATGTGCGCTCTTTGGTCCATCAGTGCTTGTGTCACCATATATCGGAAAACATTTGGAATGGGTCAGACATAATTCTGACCAATTATTAAGCTTTCTGCGTATCAAATGCACGTAAAAACTAATTTTCGCATATAAATTGCATGATAATACACAATGCATGCTAATGCATAATCCTTATTGAATGCTTATGTGAATTTAGGGGGCGGCCGGGAGTGGGGTTTCAATGCACATGCTAGTGAGTGAGTGTTATGTGAGTTGATTTTTAAGTAGACCTAATTGAATGGGAGAAAAGAGAAACATTTTGTGAACCGTTCTGAAAGTTTAAAAAGATTGGTAATGGTATGCAAGGAGCCTTTATTGCCACCTAGTTCATTATATGCAAATAAATTATAGGCTGTTACTGTTTTGCACAGTGATATGTTCCGAATCCAAACGATGCATCTTAAAATTGAGGCATTCAAATTAACAACTGGTCCCTGGAATTTTTTTTATGAATATGCCGGTCCCTGGCACAAAAAAGGTTGGGAACCCCTGCACTACAGTGTAAAAGATAATAAATAAATAGCAAGTCTACAGAACACACTATGCAACATAAACGCCACTATATGCGTTTTCTTTGACCGGATAGCTATGACTGTGAAAAGACCAGGGGCCTAATGTATAAAACTTTGCGTAGATTTCATCCTTAAAGTGTGCGTACGCACATAAGGCAGAATTTGCGTACGTTCAAAAGTTTTCAGATTTATAAAACTGTTCGTACGCCAGAACCTGCGCAGAATTCATTTTATATATCCCAGTCAGCGGGAGATTGTGCGCACATGTGTCTCCTCCCCGAAATAACCATATGGAGATTACAACGCCTAGTTTTACTATGCATATCCTCATCTGCATATCATTTGCATATGATTATTCATCCACGTGATACCAAGTTTAACGGTAGTACAGACGTTAGGAAATTATGAAATGCGGATGTGCCGTCACATTATTACAAACATTTTTTTTTTAGTAGCCTATCCTTGCCTTGTTTTTGAATTAATAAATCAAATAGTGTTAAATACATTTCAGAGAAAGTTTTTCTCAATCTTTTCCACTGGCCAAAAGTATTTTTAATTGATTTATATTTTAATGGAAACAGATAGGCATGGTTGTGCATTATTTGCACGAAACAATTTTCTCATACAATCTTCTATTAGCTATCAGTTAAAACATTTAAACACAGCATGCCAGAGGAAAAATGTTAAAAAGCATTGCATCCACAACAAATAGGTCTATTTCTATTTATTGAATATAATTTTTTGTAGCCTAACTTCTCAGTAATAATTTCATGTAGTTTAAGTGTTTAACTCCATTAATGAGAATGGCATATTTAATCAAAATGTTTATATCAGAAGTAAAACATAGTTTCACGAGTTCACACTTACATACAATTAAAGGGATTAAAGTATAATGCGTATTTGGCGAGCTGTCCGGGGGAGGGCTCCGAGCTCGGAATTCGGCCCGAACCCAGAGTACTCCCCCCCCGTATGTAAAGTGGTTTAGGACTAGAAGAGTGGAGAAGGGGTGGAGGAGAGATGCTGCTAGACTGTCAGAGAAATGAGGTGAGACTGCTGAGTAGGGCTGGGCGATATGGCCAAAAAATCATATCATAACATAATCATAATATATATATATACAGTATATTCACATTCGGCCCAATGATATCCTACAAACAATGTTGATATTGAAGGATATGGAAACAAATATAATATAGGCTATGCAATATATTATGTGCAAAAAGCTTTTGTTTTTATATTGACTAAAAGCTAAACTAAAAATGAAAATAAAAAAAAAACAAAAGCACAAACTAATTATATTAGCCTGCATTTGATTACCCCATTATAATCACTTTCACTTTCATTAAAAATATATACTTGTAGGTTTAAAATTCCACATATGGCACATTTATTTTCTCCAACAACAAAAATTTTAGCAATATGTTTATTTTAGTCAGAATTATTGCGTACTACGTAGTACTATTCACGCGCATGCGCGCGCCGGCGCTCGTTCAAGGAAGCATGAATTTTTGCGGAGATTCACTTGCAGAAGCTCGTCCTCTTCTGACATGGACATATTTGTTGTGAAATGGACATATTTGCTTTACTTTCTAACATTTACAGATGGAGAATATGTGAAATGTAAGTTGAGCACTGAGGAAAGCACCACATCTCAAACGCATTAAACAGCGCGAGTATATCTGCCAGTCAGCAACAGTGTCTGTCAGAGCATTTGACAGGGTGGCAAGCTGCCTTAAACTTGTTAACTATATCAAAGTGATTTTGACGCAATTAATATAAGCTTGTGTCATGTTTAGGACAAATTGTACTACGTAGCCTAGCTACTTTCACTGCAGCAGCTCACACTGCAACCTCCGCTATTTTTCAGATGTGCTCATATCAAACTACTGCATCGATATAAACGGTATTGCCTCATTCCATATCGTTTCAAAAAATATAACGATACATCGTACATATTCGATATATCGCCCAGCCCTACTGCTGAGTCTCTATATACATGCTTTAATCATGATTGCTGAGTGCTCTCCACCCGTGTTAATTACCTGAACGTGCTTCTCCCGAACTTGTTAATGAAACATCATTTAGTTATGATTGCTGAGTGCTCTCCACCCGTGTTAATTTCCTGAACGTGCTTCTCCCGAACTTTGTTAATAAAACATCATTTCGCGAGTTCACACTTACATACAATTAAAGGGATTAAAGTATAATGCTTATTTGGCGTGCTGTCCGGGGGGAGGGCTCTGAGCTCGGAATTCGCAGCTTTTGAAAAATGAGAAAAATGAAAAGACCGAATGAAAAAGCCGAGAAAAATGGCGTTCGTCAGGTCCAGTTTTGTGTCCAGCCTCTCACGGGGATTTCGGATGCCCCAACGCCTGTGATGAGACGACTCAACGCCTGTGATGAGACGACTCAACGCCTGCGATATGTTATGGCGCCGTTTGATTCATAAACAATATTTATATTTAATATTTATATTTAAACAATATGAATGTAAGCCAGAGGAGAACTGGCCCCCGACTGAGCCTGGGTTCTCCCAAGGTTTTTTCTCCATCCAATCTGATGGAGTTTGGTTTCTTGCCACTGTCGCCTTGCTTTGAGCTTGCTCAGTTGGGGTTATTTAGTGTTTAGCAATGTTGTTGATCTGTGTTGTGCTACTTTCATGTTATCACTGTGAAGCTGCTTTGATACAATCTGTATTGTGAAAAGCGCTATATAAATAAATGTGACTTGACTTGACTTGACTTTTGGTGCAAGGATTTTGAGTTACAAAGAAGCAAAAACTAGACAGAAATAGACTAAATTAGACAATGAACTTCGAATATACTTTTCCCTACAGTTTACCCCATTTTTTTGAAGTGAAAAAAGAGTGGAGAAGTTACTTTTGAATATAAATGTGTTAATAGTGAGCTAAAATGAATGACTTTTTTTAATTTTTGAATTAAATTAAATAATTTGTTTATGCATTTACAGTATGATTTCACACAAAAAATGTTTCCTATTTACTGTCTTTACATATTTGACACCCATTTTTACGACTCATTTTTGTGAACATTGTATTGACAGCAAAAAGAAAGAAAAGTTTCACTTGTCCACAGACACAAAAGGGTCATCAAATACAGCAACATATTCTCATTTAAGATTTTGAAAAACAAAATAAACATTGATTTGGCTGCATGTAAAAATGTTATATGCAAAATATTATAAAAAGCAAACGACTTTAGATTGGTATTGTATTAATTTTCAATTTATTTGTAATACTTTTTTCAGTTAAACTGAACAAACTTAGACGTGCACATCACAGAACAAGAAAAAAATTGTATCCAATGATGGAATGTCTTTCATATTATTGTACACAAGTGCTTTTCAGAGCTACTGCGGTCATATGATTTACACTAATCACAAAATGTATTTGACAGTTTCTAATTGGCAAGACAAACGGTAACAGTGAAAGTAACTTTCAAAAACTGTTTTGTCAAGTTTTTAGTAGAAAATAATGGAAATATTCACAATGGCAACACTATTTTAGAAAATTTGTTTATATTTGGGCCAATTTTATTTAATTTTTTTCTCACAGGAGTTTGTAGCCTCAGATGTAAATCTCTAGATTTCTTGAAAGTTCCAGGATTTTTTTAATTGTTAAGAACATGAAACTAAATATTATGAAAACTTTGTTTATCTTTTTACTCAAAACAAAACAGTCTTGTTTTACAACATTTTAAACAACAAAATATATAAACAACCACAAAAAAAAAAAAAAATGTGCAACCAGTTTCAAAAAGTCTCAGTTTCAACAGTCCAAAACATGAATTAAACTTTGACCAGACTTTGAGACATTTGTTACATCTGGGACTGTTTACAAGCATGTGTGTGTGTGCTAGCTTGCCCAAATCTCTTGTGCCCACCGCTCATTCTGTAAAAACCATTTGTGGGCAGACCCACGGTCCAGTTGAAACAGTTGCTCTTGGCTTTGATTGACAGCTGTGTAGCGGATGCTCAATTTGGGGTTTGGTATGAGAGCCGCAGAGAGGAGACGACAACCGGCCGCCAAGTACACACTCTCCGTTACATCCTCGACACCAGCATGCCTAAACCAAACAACTTACATACTCACAAATCATGACCAAACAACATTCAAGCACTTACAAATGGGGTTGGGAATAAAAATAAAATAAAAAAAATCAATTCCAATTCTGTAATCAGATACTTTAGGTCAGGAATCAGATACTTGGCATAAAATTACAATTTAGATTCTGCGTATTGATTTCCGTAGGCACATTTTAAAGGGTTAGTTCACCCAAAAATAAAAATTAAGTCATTAATTACTCACCCCCATGCTGTTCCAACCCCGTAAGACCTTCGTTCATCTTCGGAACACAAATAAAGATATTTTTGATTGAATCTGAGAGCTAGATCAGTCCTACATAGACTGCCTAAGGGACTGGCTCTTGACGGCCCATAAAGTCATTAAAGAAAAGGTTTATTCAATGTGCCTACAGCGGCTCAATTATAAGTTTATCAAGCAACGAGACTACTTTTTGTGCGAAAAAAACATAAATAACGAATTTATTCCACTATTCCATTAGTTCCTTATGGGCGCATGCGCGAGAACTGAGACGAGGACCTTCTCATTCGTCTACTTCTTGTTACCGGCTGCTCACCGCTTAGGAGTTTTACCGCCCCCTACCGTATAAGATGATGTGCTGATATAGCTGGAAGCGCAAAACTTTCTGTTTACAAGAAGAGGAAGATGCGCGCTGTACATACGCTTTTCAATTTGCGTATTTTTCGCACTATTAGGTGCACTTAAAAGCCTTTAGTCTTCTCAAAAAACGACAGTGTTCCTTATAATCCGGAGCGCCTTATATATGGATCATCATTTTATACGGTAGGTGGCGGTAAAACTCCTAAGCGGTGAGCAGCCGGTAACAAGAAGTAGACGAATGAGAACGTCCTCGTCTCAGTTCTCGCGCATGCGCCCATAAGGAAGTAATAGAATAGTGGAATTAAGTCGTTATTTATGTTTTTTTCGCACAAAAAGTAGTCTCGTCGCTTGATAAACTTATAATTTAGCCTCTGTAGGCACATTGAATATTTAAACCTTTTCTTTAATGACTTTATGGGCCGTCAAGAGCCAGTCCCTTAGGCATTCTATGTAGGACTGATCCAGCTCTCAGATTCAATCAAAAATATCTTTATTTGTGTTCCGAAGATGAACGAAGGTCTTACGGGGTTGGAACAGCATAGGGGTGAGTAATTAATGACTTAATTTTCATTTTTGGGTGAACTAACCCTTTAATTTGAATCTAAACTATTCAGAAGGATGTGAAAAAGAACTTAATTCAGCAATCATGCACTGTTTTCTGTGCACACGCATCTGAAGCTCTTGAATAACTTCTGTAACTTTAATAAGGATTTATCTATATTTGATTTATAAAGTGAAGACTACGTAGTGTTATTTTACATTTGATTTCAATTTCTGTACCTGAATACTAGACATACCTGAAAAACACTTATTTGTGCTATTGATAATGTTTATTTATTCTTATTTTATTACTGACTGTTTATACGTCTTTAATAATGTTTGAAATTTATATTAGTTGGGCTAGTTGTTTCCCTGAGGTATTTTTGTTAAAACTACAGCCAAAAGTTCCTTGTGTAAGTGTTCTGTAGGCGGCTGATTTGCGAAAGAAAGAAATATTGACTTCATATATGTTTGATGTCTAAATGTTTGACTTAATTTGTTTTTACCTTGTTAGAATGGAAACTGGGACTCGTTAAGCAGAATCAGAAATGCAATTGCTAAAACTCAAACAATACCCAACACCATTTATAAGCAAAAACAAATCTGTAGTTTTGCCTTCGAACTTTTAAGATGGTTCTATCTCTCTCTCTCTCTCTCTCTCTCTCTCTCTCTCTCTCTCTCTCTCACACACACACACAAACACACATACCGTCTCAGTGTAATTAGAAGTGACTGAGAGGATCCAGCAGGGGCCAGTAGGTTGGTATTAATAAAGGTGATGAACATCTCAAAGGCCAGCGTCATCTCAATTTCGGTGAGACTACACGGCAGAAACAGGCTGTCTCTTTCGCACACCACTGCAGTGTAAAACCCTGCTGACCGAGCACCTGGAACACATACACAAACATTATACAGTATATGCAGTGAATTAGTGACTTGCTGAGCACTGTAGTATTTAAACGTGGGTGGGCTTCTAAACGTCAAATGCAAGACCCCCCCCCCCCAAAAAAAACTGAATCTATTAGTCCCCGATATACTTCAAGCGAAATAGAAGAATGAAGTGGTGTGACATAATTTCAAACAAATGGGTCAGGATGATTGCTAACAGTAAACCACTGCAAAGATATTTTGAACTACTTTGTACTCCTAAACAAAGAACATCGCTGCGAGTATATTGAGGCCTTTAAAACCCTAAATTCAGTTGAATTTGAGATATTGAGGAGTTATGTGACTCACGTTTAAAAAGGGCCCTGGCACGGCTCCAGTTGTTCTGCTTGCCCAGTTTATGGATGAGATTCTGTAGCTGAAGAGTTTCAGGCACCATACCATGTATTAGCATGAACTCAACAATATCTGCTGCAACAGGTAATGTCTGCTTTATCACACACAAGCGCAGATGAACACTGAACATTTCAGTATAGTCATTGATCTGCACACCATCTGTGAAATAAAGTTGAATTGTCAGGAAAAATATTAATATATGCAATTCATTAAATTCAATTAATTAATCAGCATAACTGTAATAGGCTAAACTACAATGAATGCCTCTTCACACACACAAATACATAATTCAATGCGTCCTTGCTGATTAAGTTAATTTCTCTGAACATAAAATCTTGTTACTTGTATAAAAAGTGATTATGAAACATTTTCATTAGCAAGAATAAATGTATTTGTTTTTACAATATTTTTGAAATTTTGCTCTCGGGGTCCCCCTACAGTTGGGAAACAGTATTGTCTTCTAGTACTGTCGTAAAATCTGTCATGGTTACACTAAAGCCAAGTTCACACTAAATGATTTTAAGCCCGATTTATGCCCGATTTGCAAATCGTTGAGTCGCCGACAGGTCAGGGTGTTATCGCGGGGGATTAGCGGACGATGAACGCTTGCCAATCTGTTAGTATGAAAGAGCCAACAACGCAGCGAAAACGCTCGCAGACGCGTCTCCGAGCCCAGAAAAATATCTAGCATGCTAGATATCCAGAGCAGTCGCGCGACTCAAACTCAGTGATGTCATGAGTACAGCCAATCATAGCAACGCATGGGTTGAGGACACCAGGTAAATCTTAGTTTTTCTCTCTTTTTTTGCATTTTTTCCCTCAGAGCAGATCGTCGAGCAAACAGTGTGCAGCACTAGTTTCTGTCTGACGTCAATATTCACGTGTTGTGTTCTCTTCTTCGCTGGGTATTGGCGCAATATTTATTTATTTATTGCGTGTTTTTTTCGTGACAAAACTAAATTCTATCTTGTCTACATGGTTTGTAGACAAGATAGAATCGTTGGGTGACAGAGTTGTTGTCAACTTGTTATTTATTTGATTATTTTCAGGATTTAGACCGTAACATAGTACTGAAACAGCTCTCATTGAGTCACAAATGATTTGCTCTTATCATCCGATCGTGGTTGTATCTCTATGCAGTGCGTTGTCAACTCGTGTAGTGAGTTACCTCTTGTTGTAGATCAATCACGTTGTGTTGTGTGGTGTGAACAGTTAACAACTTGAACACTCTTGATTTCACTGAGAGCAAGTCATGTTGTGTGAACCGCACAGTTCAGCCCGACGTTTTAAAATCATGTAGTGTGAACAAGGCTTAAGCAATATAAGTGTGCATTTGTTGACAAGCGATACCCCCGAACTCTGCAGAAGGAAGGAGTTCTCACATCTTGGTCAGACTGCCAGTGTTGCGTGTGAAATGTCTTCATCCCAGGTACATTGGCATATATTTCAGCATGTCTTATGAATATAGGGTCATGGGCTTTATTTTTTTCAAACGTCAAAAGATCACGTAGCTCACATTTACAAGCCAGCGTCTTTATAGTAACGTTAGGCTACTGTTTTACATAATGGATATGCTAAGTCAGTTCAATGTTTGTTGGTAGATAATAGCCATGTCGTCAATATTATAATATCAAGCTACCATGAATCTGCAAATTTGAAAAATTGATTTGCATTATAGCCTGAGGCAAGACACTTTCACCACAAAAATAATTAACAAACATGACTATCAGCCTGCAGACATAGGATAGTTATCCTGACCGACTATTTTGTTTGTCTAATCATGTATTATTTACTTGCAAGAATGTAGCCCCTACGAGACTCAGTAATCAGTGTACTTTTACGTCTCGAGTTGGCGTGGGCTGCCCGCCCTGGCTCTACGGGGATGCTTGAGTGTCTTAAGCGCCCTCAAAAGAAAGCAATGCAGTCTACATTGGATGCAGCGAGGGGCGAAGCTAGACAACACATTACCAACAGTAAACTGATCCCCCACGTGCTGTTTCTGACGCACTTCACATTTGGTTTTACTTGCTGCTTCTGCAGTAAATAGAGGCATACAGAAGTAAAAAAAAAAAAAAAAAAAACGCTCGTTGGGCTCTCGCTTCGGAATTTGAGGAAATGGGGGAAGTGATGTATGCCGTAAAGCAGTCGAATTTTGTAGTTCTTTTTGTGCTTGGGTTTCTACCCGCTCCCCGAAGTTACAGAGTGCCAGTAAAAGCGATACAGACCACGTCAGGCTATGGCAGACCTGTCATTCAACCTATTGTAAGTCGATGTACCATTTCTCAAGGGTTTTGGAAAAATATTATAAAGGTTGAAAAAACTACATAGTACTGCTTTAAGAAAGTGCTGTTTAACAAAATTAAACATAGTGCTGTTTTACAAGGAATAACCTTACAAACACCTGAAGGGGTGGTCAAAATCCCTTGCCTCTTCAGCATATATATCATAATATCCTTTTGAATGATTATGTATTTATTTTATAAAATCAATAATTAAGTATATTCATTGTTACTTAATCATTTATTGACATAAATGTATTCTTTGTGCTTTTGCTTGTGAAATCATATACTTAAATGCATGCTGATGTACATGCACGTCACCAGCTTCTTTTAGGTGCACAAGGCCATTTGTCTCTTTCTCTGGTCTCAGGAGAAATGTTTGTGGATCCTAAAGGCGTCGTGAACACACATGTCCAACACTTATGATACTTCTCTGTACAGATGGTCAAGCTATATTGAGCATTGCTATATTGAACTTTAATTGTTGTATTAAAATGTATTCTTTCTATTATATTTGCTTTCTGGGAAGCAAATGTTATCTGTTTTTCTCCCAAACGAGTGAATGTTTTACCATTATATTTTGGTACACTTAACTGATAATAAGCCGCTCAGACTCTCTTCAGCCTTGATTCTCCTATTTGCTAGTGTCCTATGTGAATGTAGGGATTTGGTCTGTGTTAGTGTTGCACGGTGCACCAATACTTCAAAAGTATCGCGATACTCGGAAATTAAAAACCTCACGATACCTAAATTTATTAGTATCGATACTTTTATGAATGACCGCGACCCAGATTTGTAAGAGACGTATTTCATGTTGGTGTGTGCCACGCACACTTCCAGTCTCTCCCTATGAACGTCTATGTTTCTCCTCACGCACGCAGCAAAGAAGCTGCAGCTGTCATGAGACAAACACTAGGGACTTTAAGCAACAGCTGTTGATAGAACGGCAACGGCAGCCGAAAGTAAACAGTTAACTGCCGTAGCTAAAGAGCGCAAACATCACTAAGCAACAGTAAAGAGAACGGCATAGGGGATAATTTAATCATAAGACTAAATACAAAAAGAAAGTGATTTTAAAAAGTAAGAGAAGGGTTGACCGACAGAATGCCGTTGCCGTTCCACAGAGGCTGTTGCTTAACGTCCCTACTACCGCGAGAAGGCTGCATGCGCGAGCACACGTGATGCAGTGGCCGCCTGTCAGTAGCGGAGTGGCAATCAGGAGAGTCGGATCTTTTCCCGGTGGGCCGGTGGTGTTTCGAGGCCGCGAGGGCCGGTCTGATAGTTATACATTGCAAGTTATTAGCAACACAATCCAGAGGTCTCTGCAACGGCGATAGTTTAAAGCGCGCGTCCGTGTGAAGACGGTGCGCGACTGCGCGAGCCGCAAAAGTAGGGGTGCAACGGTACAGATAGCCCACGGTACGGTCCGTACCTCGGTTTTTGGGCCACGGTCTCGGTTCGGTTTCGGTACATGTTTTGTGCAGAAAGAGACTGCTATTTCATCCCAAAAATATGTTTTATTTTTCTTATGAGCATAAACAGAATGTCACAGTAGGAAGAACATCAATGTGTATGGAATAAATTAACACTCTAGTCTGTACTGAACAACACTAAGCAATACAACCTCTTCAACTACCACTTATGATATACAAAATGTAAACGAGCACACTTTAAAATATTCAAGTGGATCCCAATTCCAAACCTTGATATCTGGTAAATGAAGTGATCAATGTGAAAGAAAAAGTGCACTTTTACCTTTAACATAAATTAGCTTGTGGTTTGAATAAAAAGAGCAGAGCAAAATAATATAATAATAAAAAATACTGCATTCAGGATACAAAGTGCAATGTTATTTACTCATCCACTTTTGAGAGATTCTTGTGCAAAAATATACTGCAGTCAAACATTTGACTGGGTTTGCGTTATGCATCCACTATGTGCTGGGAATGTAGAGAGTAGGCTACGTGGAGCCGGAGGTGAGGCGTTTATTTAGTAAGCGTGAGCGCGCTGGGGCGGGCACGTAACTTACATTCGCAGCCTGACTCATATGAGTATTCAATGTGCGGCGGCTCACTAACAACAGTTGGCTGTTTTGAATGAGACGACCCGTGTGAACGGGGAGCGCTTTATGAACATCTATGACGCGCGAGCAGCGCCGGTCTGTTCGTGTGTCTGTTAGAGTGAGGGCTCGTGAGCGACACACACATAACCTGATTTATACGAGGTTGAACTGGCCGTGTGACAAAGCGGGCAGAAGCTGGACACGAGCGCGAGTTCGCGGGCGAATTTAATAACGCGGATCCATATATAGTAAGGCGCTCCGGAATATAAGGCACACTGTCGTTTTTTGAGAAGATTAAAGGCTTTTAAGTGCGCCTTTTATAGTGCGGAAAATACGGTTAGGATCAGCACGAACTCTATGGCAGAACCGAAGTCCCGCGGGACACGAGGTTAGATTGTCCCGTGCAGGGCTGACCGAACGGTCCGGGATTTTACCGTGTACCGTTGCATCCCTACGCAAAAGACACTGTATCCAACTGATAGCAGCGAAAAAAAAGCTTGATTTAAAAAAACAACAACAAAAAAACAACAACACATTTTAGTGCTAGATCTCTTATTTAATAGCGAACTAAATGAATTATCTGCTAGTTAACTGGAGATGTTTCATTTATTTTTGTATTAGGTGTACAACTTTCCCCCCAACTTTCATAGATAGCATAAATAATTTGCAAGCTGCTAAAATAAAGGATACAAAACATCAGCAAAATGATCTATCGGCTATATGATTATAATCAGAGCATGTGCATGTCAGTGATTTATTTATTAGGTTATTACAGCATTAAAGAGCACAGACCTAAAGGGGGTGCATATGAAACGCCT